GTGTCTGTGTGTGTGTGTGTGTATATATATTTATATATATATATTAATTGGAAACTCTCTCTCTCTATAATAAAACATAAATAAAAATTGTTTATAGTTTGTTTATGTAGCTTAAAAATTTTTATTAGCAACTTTTTGCCACAATAATTTTTTTTAACAAAACCAGCAATAAAGCCAATAAAGATTTTCAAGCTACGAGAGTGTATAGATAATGAGAATTAGATTTTTTGTGAGATTGCAGTAAAAATAGATTGTAGAAAATATTCTTAATTGTCATGAAAATAATGTTGTAATCAAAATAGCATAATAGCCTAAAAAAATTAATTTCCTTTATGCTAAGTACAATCATATACAGGGCTTGAAATTAACTTTTTTACTTGGTAGCACTGGTGCTCCCAACTTCAAAAAGTTAGGAGCACCAGCAAAAATTTAGGAGCACTCACCAAAAATTTAGGAGCACCACAACTACAAATTATATATTAACAGATTTTATCCTTACATTCTTAACTTTAATGCAGATTTTGTATTGGTTAATATTAGCTGTCAATCTCTCAGTCACTGCTTTCCGCTAACTACCGCGAGAAAAAGAAAGGGCTGAAGAAGAGAGAAAATGAAAAGAACACTGACAGATTTCTTTTGTAAACAACCTAAAGTTAAGCTCTTTGGCGAGGGTTAGGATGGTGTATGCGGTGTTAAATTTTACATTCAGCTCTGCCAGTTGCACCGAACGGCTGGCAGCTAGGGGTGTGCGATATTGACAAAAAATTATATCTCGATATTTTCTGGGATTTTATCGATAACACAATAATTTGACAGTGTTACTGTGCTGATATCTTAAGGACTACCGTGGACAGCTGACTCCTAAAAAATTTTGATATTCTGCATATTCTGTGTGGTGGTCAGTTCACAGCAGTGACAGAAATTAATATTTTCCAATAAGTTTAAATTGATTTTTTAGCTTTTATGGTCATTTTTACCTTAAAGCCATTTTTTCTAAAAGTGTGCATTATCATTTGAGTCAAATTCTTATATTTAATCAGTCAATTATAATAAGACATTTGGGCTGTTATCAAGCAAATGAATAGACAGGTCAGACAGGTCACCGTATCAGCACTCAGAAGGCACATACTCTGAATGTTTTTAGAAAAATGAAAACCGGTCGCACGACAACAATTATATGCTCCCAAACATATTTTGAGGTCGCACAGATTAAATTTCGGGAGCATATGCGACCAAAATGGTCGCAATTTCGAGCCTTGGCGCATGACAATCGCATGCGATTAATCGTGCAGCCCTAGGACACACTACACAACTAACTGAAACATTCTAAGACTGACCTCAACACACTTAAAGACTGTTTCCATCGACTGGCGCAGATTCTAGTCTTTGACAGTCCTGCAGCGTGTTCTCGGCTTTAGAGAATATGCATGTCTGTGCACCTACTAACTCTATAAGTTATAAACGTTGGCTAAAAAATTTTTGTGAAGCATATTGATCATTGTCACGAAATGTTCACCACACAGCGTCATGACATGTAGGAACCGTTTCTTTGAAATTGTTTGAAACTCATGTATTGTCTTGCATAACAAGAACTGCAGAAACAAGTCATTATAGTAGCATTCCAGGCATGCTCATACCTTGGGCAGTGTCAAAAGGGTTCGTCTAGAAACTGTCATCATCTTATGCTCATGTTAGTTCTTAAGTTGAACACAAAAAAGATATAAAATACAGAGGTGTTGTCAAGAGAGCTTGTTACTTCCGTCTTACAGTTTCCTCTTTCTGGTCTCATTAAAAATCATTGGTGAATCCTCACAGTCAACACATAAAAGAACTGTTTGTAATGTTGGAGTTAATTGTGAGCTCAGGTTCAATGTGCTTTTGTCTTGGAGGAGATATTTTCTTTAGGAAATGCTTTTTAAAGACATGAATCAGAAGTAGGGATGGGTACCGAAACCCGGTATTTAATCGGTCCCGGGGCTAAATTATGAAAGACCGGAGTATCGATAAGCTCTGACGTT